TCATATAAAACCACAGCACAGTGAATGTCCTTCTCTACACTGACTAAGCCAACACCCCAGAGTCACCTGCAGGAAGACAGAAGACACAGTCAGAGGTCACCTGTCAGCCCAAGGGTGGCCCCGAGGGCTGGTGCTGTGGAGAACAGGTCACTGTGACCTGCCTGGGGGTCGTGCCCAACGAGACTTAATTCAGCTGCCTAAGCAAACAAAAGAGAAACTCCCAAATTTGAGTCTCATTAGAACTTCCAACCTTCCAGATTCAAGGCTCTGTTAAACTCTGTTTCAATAATTCCAAACAGCACCCGGTGTCAATTACATGAAAAAGGAAACGTGAATTGTGTAAATAATACTGGATTTTGTTACTTTTACAGGACCAAAAGCTTATTACCAACATCTACTAGATTTCTCAAACTATTGCAAGAGATAAATAGGTATTTTGTAGCTTATCCCTGTTTTCTTTGATAGATAAACTGTGGCACAGAGAAATGAAATGAGTTGCCTTGGGTCATACAATGGACAGTTGCAGAACTGCATCACTGGACCAGATCTTTTCTCCTCATTTCTGTGTTTCTAAAAGGCAAACCCTCCAGGGGTTTGGCACACACTTCCAAATGGTTTTCCAAACCTACCAATATTGGTTTAACTCCATTCCTACAGAAGCCAGTATGATGTGAACAGAATTAGACCAGTTATTATCTTAAATGGTAACAGAGCTAAAGCACCACCAACTGCAGTTCAAAATCTCACCCAAATGCAGAATCAGTAAAACTCCAGAGGAAGTGACAATATTAAAAAAAAAAAAATCAAACCAGCATCAACAAAGAAAAAAAACCCAAAACCAAATAAAACAAGGACCAAAAATTAAAACGAGAAATTAAAAGACACTCACAAGGATTTAAAGGTCATGGAGGAGCAAGAGCTCAGTGTGTTGCACCGTGGTTCTAATCTGTGACAGGGCTTCTGGCTACGATGGGATGCAAATAAATAACATCCCACAGGTACATGTTGTTTGGGGATTTTTTTGTTTTCTTAAATTGGCTTCTTTGGAAACAGTGACCACAACCAGATCCTCCTCCCACACACCTTCCTTTTCTTTGAACCCCACCTGCACCATGCACCCAGATGAAAACAAGCATCCCTTTCTAATAAACAGGGATGTGCCCCAAGTGCTCCCTCGCAGCAGGCACATAAATACTCTGTTCATGGGAGCCTCGAGAAGTGTCTGATTATATTCAGATTTTGTTCTTTGTGGTCCTTCCTCTCTCCCCAAGTGCCCAGTGTCCCTTTTCCACCCTCAGAGATGTGCCGTGTGCTCCAATGTTTTTGTTTGATGGCTGATGGAGTCCCCCCACATGGAGGTGGGAGGAAGGGGAGGAAGGAAGAAATCACAGCTCTGTTGCTGCACATGGCTCGTTCCTGGCCTGGCACGACACCCCCAGCACCACTGCCAGGAATTCTCTTTGAGACAAGGGTGTGAGTGCTGCAGGAGCCCCCTCAGACCCAGCTCCAGCTGGTATAGGCAGGGAAGAAACAACACATTAGAAATTCCTGCAAACCTTCAGACCACAGAAATCACGTCTAATGTATTTATTTTAACAGTTAAAAGTCATGTTATTGCACTTTTCTATTCAGTGGGCAAAGCTACAGCTCCAAATTCCTTCACCAAAGCCCTGCCAGGTGCTCTTGTGGCGACTACCTGTGGGATTTGGAGACTCAGAGCCCAGCCCCAAAGCAGGCTCACAGTGCAGGAAGAACTATTTCAGGAAGAACCATGTCCTGCCATCCAGCCATCCCTGACAAGGGGCTGATGCAGATGGATTTGTCCCATGAAGCTGGAGCTCCAGTCAGCACCCAAAACACACATTTCCATGGAGAAAGTGTGACCCACCCCACCATTCCTAGATGCACTAAGTACTACCCTCACTGCCCAACACTGTGGAGACTTGGATTGGTAAAAGTGACTATCCCTCCCCTCGGGGAGCTCAGCTCACTGACTCCAACAGACCTATTTATATGAGCAATAATTACTTCTCTGAATAAGGGATTAAATCTCCAGCTATTAGGCTCTAAAGTAAAAGCCCAAATGACAGACACTAATCTCTTCAGGGTACAGAAGTAGTTTTTAGATGGTACATTAACTGGCTGTGTGGCTTTATCCAGAGTCCCCATTCCATAATCAGGATGCGTGTGCCCTGGATGCTGCCAGATCCCAAACCAGCACCCACAGTGAGAGCAGGAGCAGTTTACCACTGTGCTGCCCTGTGCAAACTCCATCCCTGGCAGCACCCCCTGACTCCTTCCAATCCCTGTGGAGCAGAAGGTGGGAATGCAGTAGATTCCTGGATGTGTACACGGTGCTTGCTTTGTGATACACTTCATTTTCTCAACTATATATTCAGAAAGAGGGGTGAGTTTGTCAGGGTTTAGGGGGGCTGTAACTGTCTCCAGCATGGAAACTCAAGGGAGATCTGGAGGCAGGTGTTCCAAGGACAGCAGAGACACTGGAGATGACACCCTGGGTGGTTTTCAGGGCTTAGAGGTGGTGAAAAAGCACTTTCTGCAAGCTTAGCAATCTTTTATGTCACCCCACTCATTTGGAGAGGAAAAGACCCAGCGTTCCAGCATTCCATTTTCAAAGATTCCCAAGTGAGAAAGGAGTGCTGCATACCTCACTTCTGCTGTGATCCCATGGAACATCAGCAATGCAGAGGAGCTTTGCTTTGTTTCCTTGTGCTCCAAGCAGGAGTTTTCACTCCCTGTGTTCAGTGAACCTAAAATAATACAGGGAAAACCTAAATTAAAAGTTCCACCTCAGAGGCAGGTGCTGAACGGGAAAATGGGCAAAGGTTCTCCCACTTTATTTCCAATATAATCCCGCTTCCAGCTACAAGGTTTTGTCTGGAATGTCATGGCATGGATAAGGCACTCACTCCTTTCTTTGCAATATGATAGAGGAGAGGATGAGTGGTGACTGGAAGTGCCAAGGGATGCAAATCACAGAGACTCCAGCTGGGAAAGCCAGAAAGTGGCAACCGAAAATGGGAGGTGAGGGAGAACTGAACTCTGGGTCAGCATTGCTGGAGTAATTTTGGCCACCACCGTGGGACCTCTTCTGGGCCATTATTTGACGGGGATTTTCCATATATGCTGGGAGTTGGGAATTCCTGAGCCGTGCAGCAGTGGCACAGGATGCCTTCAAAGGGCAGCAAAGCAGGGAGAGACACGGGGAGAAGCTGGCTCTGTGTTATCTTCTGGAAAGTAAATAATGGCACGGGTTTATGGCTTACAATTTAGTGCTCTAGAAATTGAGTCAACCAGAACAAAATGGCTTTTAACCCCTTGGAGTATGGGCATCGTGAATAAACACCACCCAGGTTTGTGGGGGAAAATGGCCAGGTTTTGGTGTCAGGGTTGTTGGTTACCAGAGAATGGAATGATCAGAGAACCCTTCAGATTTAGGGCATGGCTGCTGGTCTTTAGATCCTCTGGGAGAAAGGCTGGTGTGCCCTTCATCAATCCCTTCTGTTATTGATACCAGTTTGGGTGAGGAGAGGGGAAGCAGGGGCACTGCTGGGACTCGGTGCTGACTGGAGTTTTGTCCAACAAATAATGGCCCAGAAGAGGGAAGGAGGAAAGCTCCTGGAAAGTCCTCATCAAATAATAGCCCAGAGGAGGGAAGGAAGAAAGCTCCACTCCACACATTTGGTTCTCTCATGGCTGCCCTATTCCCCATCCCCAGATGGTTCCATGATTGTCTTCCCAGCCCCCTTGTTTTGGGAACAGAACAGCAGAAGCATCACACCCCACACCCAGTTTTGGGGGAAGGGAAAGGGAGGGGGGCAGTGGGAGTGAGGAGGGGTCACAGGGGAGCAGAATGAACTTGCTCTCAGAGAATCCTGGTGTCCACACTGCCGGGGTTCTTTTATCCTGTTTCACTTCAGTAAAAGCCTCAATTAACTCCACATTAATTATTAAATCAGAACAATGCGTCTTTGGGTTCCAGCAGCTAAATTCTGTTACTGCTGTTTCTTTGGGGAGCTTGGCTAGTTTTACAACTCAGGACATAAATATCTTTGATCAGGGAGTTCCTGGACTGTTGTTTTTATTTTTCTCTCCGTGGGAGCATTTTTAATCACAGTATCTCAGGCACACATGGGGGGAGCATTTCTGGGTTTGCTGCACATTAAAAACTTTTTACATCTCACACATACAGGCTCCAACAGGTGCTACAAACACAGCCTAAGAAAGCTCTCACATTAAGGCTCTCCAGGAAATAGGAAGCATTTGCATATCCCCTCTAGAAGGGGCTGCTTCCTTGCAAGAGGAAGTGCTGGGTTCCATGTACATGTTATTTAATTCCACTCTGCTCCATGGAAGACCCAAAGAATTCTACTTGATAAAGCCAGTCTAGAAATATTTGCCTTTTTCTTGTCCTATTGTTGCCAGACACACACATTTACAGGATGTTTTTAGTTGGTCACTCATGTCTCACTGAGCAGAGCCCCAACCTCTCTTATTTCCCCAGAGTATTCTCAAACTCTTGCTCTTGTAGATGAGTCTGATTATATTTACTGCTTTCTTGCCCCAGATTATTTTAGAGACAAATGGCTTTCCTAATGTCTCCTGGAGAGTCTCTGGCTTTTACTCACGATGTTCTAGGACCTTCCAGGGAACGAGCAGCTCTAGCACTGCAAAATGCTTTTATTTTTTTATGTGAGTGTAATGCATTTGGGAAAGAGCCAACTTGATAGGACCTGAATGCAAAGGCAACCCAGGAAGTACAGAAAAACAGACATAAGTAGGTAACAAAATTAAACTGGGCAGGCAGCTAAGTCAGTCAGTCAGTCCCCTTTGCTGCATCCCTTTGCTGCCTGGATTTCTGTTCCTGCTCAGACTGGGGAACCTGGCAGAACTTTGTGCTTGACCTGCAGCACCACTGACAAATATGTGATTTGCTTTGCCTGTGGTGGAAATCCTGCAATATTTGCTGTAGCAGACTTACTGTGTGTCAGCCCACACGTCCTTCAGCAGTGCCACTGACCACAGCTCTCCAGTTCCTCCTGCCAGGAACGAAGAGAGGGAGGGAAAACCTGCAGTAAATACATTTTATTATTAGAGAAGCTGCTTCTCTTCTGTTTAAAAACAAGCAGAATGGTCTAGAAGGGGACCAGCAGTAAATGCTTCCTCCTAAATGCATGTTTTGAGATAATCTCTACACTTTGGCTGCATGAATGACTGTGTGTGTCAGCTGTGCATTTGCCATCAACTGCACATCACGCTCAGAACCTTTCTGATCTTGCAGATTTTCGGGTGTAAGGTTATCCTGTGAGGCTGCTGAGAGCACAACCCTCTTGCTCAGCAGAAAAAAAAAGAAAAAAAAAAAAAAGGCAGCCCCTGCAGCCAGGTCTAAGTTTCTGGCAGTACCTTTCTCAAAGATATGCCTGAAAGACACGACCTGGGGCTCTGGGTCACAGAGAAAAAGCAAGACAGACAAAGGGCACACTGTGGGAAGGATGTCTGGCCACTGGGTGAACTGAAGCACCCACAAAAATGAGGCCCTGGACAGTGCTGCAAACAGCATGAATTCAACCCCTGTTTGCCACACACTGCCCTGTGATTCCCTTTGCAGTTTCCACATTGTCTGGCAGAAATCAAGCTGCTCATCCCCCTGCTGCTGCAGCTTGACGTCTGCAAAATCCACCTTCCGAAGGGTTTTTATGATCTTGGATGAAAATTGCAACTGTGCCTTGCAGTTAATTAGGTAATCATTATTATTGGTTATTGTGGGAGTTTCTGAAAGTTGTATGAAAGCAGAACAGGAAGCTTGAGCTTATGGACTCACATCTCAGTCTAATTCAATAGTCTTTATCAGACATACCTCTGCTGCAAAGTTCCTCTGGGGAGGAGCTCACTTCTTCTGCATAAAGTCAGCAACACTTCAAAATGCTGTGAAAATAATTAATAAAATTACCATTATCAATCACAATAGATACCAGTAAAGCTGCCTGCCTATGGATAGCAAAATCCAAATATTATTGCCAATTTGGAAGGGGTTATCAGTGGCAAGTGGAAAAGTCTCTCTAAAATGCTTAACTGTGGCTTATTTTAATGCCCACCTCCATTATTTGCATTTATGGAAGACATTATGGGATAGAATTCTGACTTTTACAGCTGGATAATGGGAAAATTAAAGAAAAATCAAGAGCAAGGACATAGAAAAGCAGCCTCCTGAGGCTTGTCTGCTTGAGAGAAGTCCACATGCTCACCCTGGTAAAATGTCCAATGTGGAGCCCCTGCTTGCAGCAGGTTTATGTCAGTGGAGACCCTCTGGCACCAGTGGAATTGCTCTTCCACACCAGCTTGGCAGCAGCACCAGGGCCAGGATCTCTGCAGGGGAAAGGAAAAGAGAAACAACCTGAACAGTCTGGATTTGTATCTTGTGCCTCACACTCTGCCCCACTTAAACAGCACAGTCCCTCCCTTCTGGCAGGGTCTGAGAGCAATGAGAACTGTCCACAGCTACCCCCTCACCTGAGCACCCACAGCACGGGCACTTCTTAATCACACATCACACCAGTCACTCCTCCAAGGCATTTTGATTATCCCATAATCTTATTTTAGCAGCACCCAGGCACGAAAGGGAGCAACCTCCCACTGACTGGAGACAGCAGGGGCCTGATCCAGAACTGCCTGATGGCAGAGGAACCATTTCACCAATCCCTGCACATTTCTGCAGGCTTCACCCCCTGCAGAACACCAGCAGGGTGCTGGTGGAACCCACCAGAAATGGACCTGTGGGAGCAAGTAAAAAGGTCCAGCCATCTTATCCCAGTCCAGGAATCCACTCTCACATGATTAATTATTTGTACTGTTAAGCAAACACGAGTGCTTTTGGTGCAGACTGAAGGGCTGCTCCTAATCAAAAGCAGCCAGTTTGTTTATTTCTAATTTTTTTAAAATTTTTTTTTGTCTCCATTGTCTGTTTTGCTGTTTAGAAACCCCAAAATGGGAGCTCGTGTGGCTGTGTTCCCCTCAGAGCAGCTGGCTGCTTGTAAAGCCAGAAGGACACGTCAGATACATGGTTCAGAGAGCATTCCCAGTGGGAGAAAATACCCTTTGGTGGTAAGGCCAGGCCTGTGGTGCACAGAGGTGGTTCCCAAAGGTGGCTCCAAACAGGTAAAAAGAGGGATGGCTGTGCTGGAAGAGCCCCCACAGGACAGGCAGACCTGATTGTGCAGGAATTGCAGGGAGAGGCACTGACCATCATTCCAGCCCATATCTGGGAACAGTGGCTGCACTTCACTGCCTGTAACCTCCTTCACAGCTCCCATTCCAAACCCTACAGATCCTTTCCTTTGGATCCTCCCACCCTGTAGAAGAAGGATGGTGAGCCAAGCTCTGCCTGGGAGTCTCCTGTCCCCTGCTAACACATCCATGGGATTTTAGGAATATCCATCTGCTGTACTTAACTTAGCACCCTGTTGAGAACCTGCACTGGCTTCCCATTTCCAGTTCCTGCTACCTGAGAAAAGGCAAATGCCCTGAAAATAACCACCAGCTTGTTACATCAACATTTAGTCTGATTTCCACCGTTCACTTGATAATTCTGAGCCTGCCAATAAATGGAAAGGCCATTTAGGAATTCTAAGCCCCGAGTTCACAGCAGAGCAGCTCCTGTCCCTGTGGCAGCTCTTGGCTGGAGACTTCCAGAGCAGATTCCTCAGCTCAGCTCCACGGGGAGGGATAACAAGGGGATAACACACCTGTACAAGGTGCAGCCCAGAGCTGAGGCAGCAGCTCCCAACGGGTCCCCTCCTGCCCTGAAAGCACAGCTGTGTTTAGATCCCCAGGGGATCTGCTCAGCCACGCTCCAAATGCCAGTCAGCTCCCGGTGCATTAGTGGGGGAGGTGCCCAGTCCCACCCCAGTTACAAAGAGCAGATATAAACCTTTAATGGGCACTGCAATGGGAGGGGGCAGAGCATCACTGAGCATCACTGCATTGAGAGCACTGAGCACACAAACAGCCCCAGGAGAGATCCCTGCACTCCCAAACACACAGTTCCCTGTGCTAAGGGGCTGCAGAGCCAGGTTAGGGGCAGAGTTATTGAAACCATCTGAACTTGAGCAATACTGGGCAGCTTGTACTTATTTTTCCTTTTTTAAATAGCTGCTTACAGTCCCAACTTCTTTTTAATTTTCTTTTTTTGGCACAGGACTGATTACATGCCTAATGCCTGAAGAAAAATGGGAATACTGAAGGATTAGGAATATCTAAATTTATGGCAGGATTAGTTGGAGTCTTATCCTGCTTGACACGGAGAACTAACATGAACAATCAAGAAGGACATTCCAGCCCCATTATCTCCTACTCCTGCTGTAAAGAATGCAGAAATAAAAGATTGCATTAAAAAAAAGTGTAAGACATTCATTTGAGATATCCCAGCCTATTATGAGAAACAGCATGTTTGCTGCATAATTCCATAATAATTCAAAAACCATTTTATAAAATAATTAAATAAAAAGCCCAATTCCTTTCTTGCTTACATCAGTTTTACATAAAACAACAGAAATGAAAAGAGAACCAAACCCAAAGAAAATACTTGGCTAGATCTCATTCCACTGCCAATGGAATTCACCACCAAGCTTAAAGGAGTAGGACCAACACCAGGAATACCCACATCTTCCTACAGCCAGACCGTTCAAGGCTCTGCCCAGATGTTGGGTGATGAAATCAGTATTTTTGTGTCTAGAATGAATGATTCAGGTGCCAAACTAGTGGAGGTTTCCTTGGGTGACCTCGGGCATGTTTCAGTTCCCCTGAATCAGTCAGGGATAACAGCCCTGACACCTTGGATGGCTCCTGGGGAGACACGGCCCCAGCTTTGCTGTGGACTTGGACTGAATTAGGGATGGATCCAGGCAAGAACGATGGACAGATCCTATGAAGGGAGAGAGAAGGGATGAGCTGATTTTCATATGGGAGCTGTAGGTTCTCAGCACAGCAGAAACCCAGCCAGCCTCTCTCTCTCTCTCTCTCTCTCAAAGCATTTTCTTTCAGACTGAGAATTAGAGTCTCAGAATCTTTGCGCCTACACTGGGCTTGACATTTCAAACCTATAGATCGGGCGATCCAGAGCAGCGGAGCTCGTGGGGAGGGAGTGTAACAACACTCATTTAAACCTCGCGTAATTACATCACAGCAATGCTGCAGAACGAGCCTTTCCCTCCCTCTTTCCCCCCCCTACGCCCATCCCCGGGGGTTATTTATCCCGGGACAGCATCCCGGCTCTCCCCCCGGGCAGGAGCATCTCCCGGGCAGCGGTGCCAGAGCCGCTCCCCGGCCCCAGACGGCGCGGCGGGGGCGGCGAGGGGGGGGAAAAAGGATTCCTGGAAGCGGCGGGGAGGAGAGGGCGGCGGAGGGAGGACGGTGCCAAAGCCTTTCAGCTGGTGCCCGGCGACGGCACGGGGAGGGACGGCCATAAACTGGCGCTGATTCGTTCATCAGGGCCCTGATGGGTCCCTTCCAACTCGGTTCCAAAAAAAAAACAAAAAAAACAAAAAGAAGTTTCACCCCCTCCCCAACGCGTGGAAGAACTTCTGCATGTCGAGGGCGGGTGGCACCGGAGGAGGGGGTGGCAGAGCCCTGGGACAGCCCACCAGGGAAGGGCGTGGAGTTCCCCTCTCTGGACACGTTCCAAACCCGTCCTTGTGTCACCTGTTCCAGGTGACCCTGCCTTGGATGAGCTCCAGAGGTCCCTTCCAACCCGACTGATTCTGCGGGTTGGGCAGGCAGGGAGCCCCCTGCCCGGCTCCATCAGCCCAGCCCAGCCCAGAGCAGTCTGGTTCTCCTTAGTAACAACAGCAAAACTCTGATGTATCTGAGCAAAACTTCTCCAAAGGGCACCTGGGCTGATCGAGACTGTGAAGAAGTCGACTGGAAATAGATTTAGGGAGCGAGAGCTTCCCCAGTGGCTGCATCTCCCTCCCTCCTTTTTTTTTTTTTTTTTTTTTTTTTACCATCGTCCCTCCTCGGCAGTAACAGCCTGTTGTGGAAGGCATTAAGGAAATTCATTCCTCCCTGATATTTAAGAAGATAAGATTGATTTGTTGCTATCTCACTGTTGTTATTATTTCTCCAAAATGGTTTAACAATCTAGCTTTGAAATAATGAGGAAGAGGACAGATTTTGGACTGTGTTGGTAATGGTTGAAGAACTGTGCATCTCAATGGATTTGTGTCTCTGCTGCAACAGGTTAAAGCAACAATTAATCTGTATTTTCAATACTGAAAATTGAGCTGGTAAGTCACTGTGTCGTGGAGATGGTGAATGCAAAGAGAATCAGTGCTACTGCCTGTGTATCTGACTGTGGCATATTTGAATCCTGTGCCAAAAGGTTTACTGTGAGGGGTCAAGAATATTCTGTAGAACAATTATGTTCATCTTGCCCTGCCTTTTCAGCATCCCAGGCCCTTTGGTATAGGCTGCTTTCACCAAAACCTTTCCCAGACATAAACAAGTTAATTTGTCCTTGGTCAAACACCAGTGGAGAGAATTGAGTTATGCTGGAGGCATATTTGTCATATGAAATCTGTTGCCATCAGCACCTGAGCTGAGCAATTATATTGTTAATAATAACTTACACCTAATAGCTCAATACACAGAATTGAGCATTGATGTTTTTCCACCCCAACCTGCAAATTGCTGTGTTCCACCTCTCGTATGGTGTCTCTAATTGTTGATGATCAGACTTTTTCCCTTCTTTGCTACACGTTCACCCTCCTGCCAGTGCTGCACACGGGGATTCGTGAGGGATGACTGAGCCTTCAGCTTTTTGAACATGCCATTGATGAAAATACTTTTGGCTGCCTGTTAATAGAACTCCTCTGCTGCCTCCTTCCCAAGTGCAGGCTGCTGCTGGTAGTAACATGACAACACTCCAAACTCAGTGATTGCTTGAAAATTACAGGTTTGGATAAGAACTCTGTTCCACTCAAGGATGTTCCACACTGTAATGATCTAAAGAGAGCTGGGTTTTGTGAGTGATCAGCACTCTCAATTTTCCCACTTACTTTGCATCTGCCTCTTTAAATAATTGGGGGTTGCAAGGTAGGCATAAGGAGCTTATTCCTTTATCTTCATGTCATACAGCACCTTTGCCTTTTATTTGTTCCCTTTGGTCTATCAATTTTAGGGTTTTTTTAAATGTATGCATTTTTTTTTAATCTGTAAATCCTAATGGGATTGGAAATAACAGTTTCTAAGACATAATTTAGCCAGTAATAAAGATGGACAACCTGTGCCTTAAAGAACATATGCACAGACCTCAAAGACTTCAGACATTTACCTGTGTTTAAAGGGCAGGATTCTTC